ACGCTGAACCCAAGGTAAGTCACCTCAAAGGAAGAGCATGGCCGCAGCCAGCAGGTGACCTAAACATGCCTTCAGGGCAATAATGTGAAGGAACTGGAGGGAGAGAGTTGTTCACCTGGGGATTAACTAGCAAGTAAGAAGGTTCTGCTGTTTCATGTATTACCTGAGCAATTAGGCAACAGATTTTTCTGAAGAAGGCGAGTGCATTCCTGGTGCTGAAGTGTATTTAAATTTATGTCACACCAAACACTGCAAAATAACTTGGCATTTACCAGGCTATGAACTCTGTGGCTCCTACCCTTCTATTAGAGAGCGCTCCTTCCCATAGAGAATCAAGCTGTGAATATTTTAATAGGTCATCGTCATCAACAGTGGATACTGCAGGAAAATCTTGGCAGGAAAGAGAAGCAAGGGTTTAATTGGAGAGAATTAAAGGTGTGTCAATGTTGGTTTTATCTGACACCCATTCAAATCAAAGTCTACATCTGTTTGTAGGCAGTTTGTTTCTTGTATAGTTTCTCTAGCTTATCAGTGACCTTAGAAATGCATGAGTCTTCTGTGGAGTATTAAGAGGGGCTTAACCTATGCATTGTGAAGACTTGTGCTAATGAGGTTTGAAGCAAAGAAAATCAGATTACTTATCTGTGCCACTACTTTGCCACTGACCCTGACAATTTAATGGTGATTTATTATTTCTGGCATGCCTTCCAGGGCTGTTAGCAGAATGCTCCGAGCAGAACTGCCCTGAAGTTTTTAGGAGTCCCTAGAGAACTGCACTGAGAGCCATTTCCCCACATCCATATCACGTATCAGTCACAGGATGGAGAAGCACTCTTACAGCGCTGCTATCTAACCTGCGCCTTTCTTTTGCTGCAATTATTTCCTTAGTATGGCATTCAAATCTGTGTGCTTTACCTTTTGCCATGACACGTGGGCCAACCTCACACACGTCCTGCAGCATTCTGGGCTTGACTTGGCAGGTTTCTGCTGAGCATGCTAGTTCAATGTTTGCTTCGTAATCAAGCATGTGTGGGTAGCCGTGTTCTTTTCAGAAGAGCTATGCATGTGCTTAAAGTAAGTATGTGTTTAAGTACCTTGCGGCTTCCAGCCAAAATGGCAAATACTTGGGCAGAATTCAGTTTTAAACAAGCTGTTCTAAAATACTTCTTCAGCACATACCAGCCAGACAGGTATTTGACGTGTTACTGTGACATGGTGCTGCTTCAAAAATTTTCAAGGAAAAGAGAAAAAGCCAGTGTTAGCACTGGTGATGATTTGAGTCACTTGAGGTCACAAATTTGCCTGTCATGTTTATGAAGGGATTAGTACCCTAGACTTCTATCTCATCAAGAGATCCTTCATCCTGTTGTTGGTATGCTAGAGAGAAACAAGTTCTCAGTTATGCTTCGTATGTCTGCTTGGAGGGGAGGCAGGCACCTTGCTAAGATGGTGTATAGGGCCAAACGAATGAGCTTACTGTGTGATAAACCAATGTCTGTCTCGACTGTGGTTTTCTCCCAAAATTGGTTCTGTGTGTTTGTTATCTGACAAAGATACAGTTCTTTAATTGCAGACGAGCATTTTGGAAGTACTAAAGCTTTGTGAGAGAGTGCATCTTAGGATTTGTCTGCTTGGTGGTTTAGACTAAAGGTGTGAAGCACATGCATAAACTAAAAGGTTATTACATCTGCCATTAAATTTCTTTCTTCAGAAAGAAAATGGCTTTATTTTGTTATATAGCAAACTTTACTTCTGAATGGGAGCATTCACCCTGAAATGTGCATGTGTATTAACTTCACACCTTGAGTTACTGACCTTAACTTTCCCAAGTGCTACTGTGCAGACAAACTCTCAGGACAAATAATGTTCCCTGTGAAATAAAACATGGTACAGCTGATACCAGTGATTTGTAAGCTGGGAGTAAAATGGAAAGCATCATAAATTCATCTGTGCCTTGCAGGCAGGATCATATGCTTTTCAACTGGCATAGCCAAAAATCTGTTTGTACATAGATACCATTCCTTCCCAGTGGTAGTCACTGAACAGATTCTGTTCCACATGCCAATGGTCTATAAGAGAGCAGGTGTTTCTATATCTAACGTACTTCAGCTCTGAACCCAGGGCTGTTATTTTGACTTGGAATCAGGACACATTCATTCCAAAGTCTATGATCCTCACTGCCATAAATACTCCTTTTTGTTGTTGTTCTTAGTGTTTTGCTGTATTTTAAAGAAAAGTTGACCATGATGGTCTTCTATATTTGATTCAAGTGACTTTCCATACTCTACCTTTGTGGGGCTAATTATTTCCCCCTTTTAAAAAAGATTGATTACAAAAAATTGCATACAATCTTCGGGACTGAATCTCATTCAGACAGATGGGTGTCTTGGTACTGCTACTGACTACCTACAGAAAAGGTAAATTTGAGCATGTTTGGGGGACTTATCTGGTAAACCTAAAATGCAGGGTTCAAAAAGCAGACTTCTTAGTTGAGTTTGTGTATAGTTTGAAGAATCCCAGTTTTAATATAGGGGGAGAAACAGGTAGCATATACATGCCTCATATCTAACTGAAAAATCTGAAAGCACTGTAGTTAATTAAATTCTCTCACGCATCCCTGTGAGGTAGGGAAAATGCATGATATCCAAGGATTGCATCACTTTCCAAAAAATGTAGTTGCCTAAGGTATTCATGAGTTGGATTTATTTATTAAACCAGTACCCAGCCCCGTTTGTGTTACATTTGAAGAACAACCTGTACTACTGAAATGCCAGGAGTGGCAGTGGAAGGGCTGGTGGTGAAGGAATGATGGGGTAGAGGAAATTATTCTCAAAATTGAGTTTCAGTATTTAACAGGCTAGGGTTTTCTGAACTGGGTGTTGTGAAGCCTCTGTAACCTCTGAGGATCTTGGGGCTCCCTGTTCTTCTGGAACATTAGATGACAAGTAGTCACAGCTCTGCTTCACCTTGCCCCTAATTCACCTTAGCAGCATATGTCTCTAAGGATTCAGTTTCACCACAGAGTGAGCAGAAATAGCAGCTTACTGTCACTGAAAGAGGGAAATACAGGTCCCTCATCTCAGCAACCCCTTTCTCCTGGCTGTGCAGTTTTGTTCCTCTTACCTTGTACTACTGTTAGCAGTTGTTGGATTCCTCTGCAAGCCAATTTAGTTCCCTAAAACAAGAGAAAAAAAGATGTTGGAAGAAAAAAAAAACAAAAAATGTAGTTACCACATTAGTAACTAGTGTGATGCAGTAAGAGTGAAACCATAGACCAAGGTGTTTGATGCTGGATACCTCTGCTCCTAGTTTGTAGACTGAATGGCCATTAGTTGGACATTCAGATTGGAGTGTGTTAGGTGTATTCAGCTTCTGGAGAACATCTTTCAGTTTAGTTTCATCTGAAACTGTCTGGTTTGCTGCTTTAGGACTGCTCCACGATGCAAACCAAGTGTGGTAAGCGGGGACAGTCAGGCAATTTGTTCCCAAAGAAAACCCCTGAGCTGAGCTAAAACATAAATAGAGACATGGCCTTAGTGAACTGAATCACTTCTGCAGGGGAAGGGTATGGCTGCAAAACTAGAAGAGTGGGAATGACCTGCTGTCTTTTGGCAGGCTGTATGTCTGCTCAGCTGTGAGCACACACAACCTAACTGCTGAGATATTGCCCAAATCCAAGTTCCTAGTGCTCACCTTCCTAACAGTTTGATGCCAGCTCTGCTTCACTTAAAAAAAGCTTACAGGTTTGCAGCAGAAAAATGCATGCCATGAAAAGCATGAGGGCTTTTAGCTAAAAGCTTGAGTTTTCTTGCTAACTGCAAGGTGAATGTGTCTATTCTAGAAAATTGTGCAGGTGAGGAAAGATATCTATTTTGCAAACAAGCAATCACATTTCATTCATGGATAGGTGCAATTTTTGGGCATGCACGTGGTTAGCTGTGTTTGATCTGATCGTGCATACATACCAAAATCAGTCCTAAAAGCATACTTGCCAGACCATGCTTTTTGAAAAACGCAGGCTGTGACTCTCAACTAAAGTGATATCAGAGAAGTATAAGCTCCCAAATGTAAATCAATGGCCAAGATTTTAAACAAGTCGTCTTGTAAGCACCAAAGCTTACCATGGCGTCCTACGATTCATGTCTCGTGACTGATAGCTACACCTTTGTAACGTGTGTCTGAAATCTTTCAGACAGACGGACAATAGCTTTCCTACGTGCAGATTCTCTGATTTATAGAAATATATGGGTGTCCTCCATGAGGATAAAGCAGAGTCTCCCTCTTCTGCCTATTTTCATAAACGTTATAGGACCTAAACTTTTTTAAAGGTACCTCCTCCTCTGTCCTGTGTGGCTTGAATGGGCCAACACTCTATGGAGGCTTGGGGTGATTACATCAGCCTCTTTTCCTTAGGAAGCAGGTAAGAACAGGGAGCCAGGGTTAAGCTTCCAAAACTCTATTGGAAGGTGAACCAGAAGCAAAGAAAAAAAGACATAGTAAATCATTGCAACACCCAGCTTTCTGGGTACCTGCTTCCTGAACGGGGTCTCAAACCCTGTCACAGCTCCATTTGCCGTTTGTGGAAGGAGATGGGTATTGCAGAACTGGATTGGGATTCTGCGCAGCAGACAGGGAGTCGTTTCCTGGGAAGCGTTTAGGGACCGTAGGCCTCAGTTGAGCAAAGGATTCTCCAGATCACAGCCATGTACTTTGTTACCTAAATTAGTTTATAGATCAAGTTCCAAATGAATAGGTGAACTTTATAGTTAGGCTCCCAGCCTGCAACTTCTAAACCTATCTAAGGAATTTGGAAATTTAACTGGGACATGGGAAACCAACTTGATTTGGGAGAAAATATTTACTAATCAAGGTTTGCAATAGTTAGTTTTCGATTGGATTTTAATTTGCATAGCCAGATGTCCCACATTAGTTTAATCTTCTTGCAGGCATGTTCCCAGTGGAGCTAAAAAATATTTGTGTTTCTTGTAGGTAGCTTAAAGATGGATGCTCCCAAAGAAGCTCAGCCTACAGGAGAGTTCACATGTCAGCTATGTAGCTTAACAGCTCCATACACATACTATGGGCAGAAGCCACCAAACACACGGTCTATTGTGTAAGTGCAGTCTTTCGTATTACGTAGTTATGTTCTGAGCACTAGAAGGCTTGTACTGTGGAACGATGTGTGCTGCATGAACCCAATATCATGACATATTGCCCCTGAATGTGAGGCTTGGTACTTAAAGTGACCTTCTTTTTCCAAAGGGAAGAAATGTTAAAAATTGTCAACATTGATAGCAAAGACAAAAATCAACTTTCCCATCCTGCTTCAATACCATGCAAAGATTTGTATTTAACCTATTATTTCCTAACTCTACTGCCCACCCTACTATTTACCTATACCATAATATTTTTACTAGAATACTGTTAATTGTCAGGCTAGCATTTCTGGGAATAGCCCTTTCCTCACAGCTGTGTCAGCTGGGCAACATGTAAACACAGCATGAATTAAATACATATGGTAAAAACACTTTTTAAGAGCTGTTTGACATGATGTGGAATTTTGAACAGCAATGTTTTTTTGCATGTATTAGACAATTCTTTGGCAGATGGTATAACATTAAAGTGTGTGGAAATTTAGTACATATTTACATTGTAGGAGACTGAAGCCTTTTCCATCTCTGCCAAGTAGGGATAATTTGACCAGAAACTATGCAGTTATGACTCTGCAGACATTAAACTCCCCATAAAACAAAGCACTTCGTAGCTTTAAATGTACAAGTAGCTCTGTTAAGGCCATCCCGGTCAACAAACCCATCAGGCAAACATGGTCAGGAATTCACTGGAACTGGAAGTCAGACATGTACTCAGCATTTCACCTCACTAAGACTGCTCTGTTTCTTATATAATGGAAACAGCTGTTGATCTCCACCTGCTTGGGCTGAAATCAGCTATATTTTTATAATTCTAAATCCCATGTTGCTACTGGTTTTCCCTCTTCTACTCAGCAGAGCAATGGCCCACCTTTGATCAGATCCATTTGTAAAGAGTCTGAATCAAAGCTGAACATGAATCTTAACTTTAGGTTATCCAAACTCAGTGTGAACATCTCAGCTTTATTGGGATTGTTGAGATTCAAAAAGCAAAAGAATAATGCTGAAGCATAACACTTCTGCACAGGCATATATGAAATAGCTTTACACACTATTAGCCTACTTTCTGGTCTGCTCACATGTCCTAAATGCAATGCTGCGGGAAACATGTGCCAGCCATGAAAGTTTGTACAACGTCCAGGTCTCTGCACTAGTGATGACTACATTAAGACTGTGAATCTTGCAAGGGGAGCTTTGTAAAGGTAGTCCAGTCTCTGTACACTAGGAGACTTGTTGACAAGGTGATCTGCCATGTTAAGATGCCTGATCTTTCCTAACAGTGGAAGGCTTGAGCCACACCATTTGTTTTGTCTGAGAGGAAAAGGAAAAAGGAATACACTCACAGATGCACACATATGCGTGTGTGTGTGTATGTAGACAAGGAGAAGGCAGTATGAGTTCACAGAATACCTTTTAAATATGTATTGTACTCCATATTACTACAGAATCCAAGTTTGATTTAAGTCCAGGCATAAGGCAGCCTTGCAGGGTGCCCTGTGCAGACACCCAACTGACTTCTGTAATATTTTGCCAGGAGCTCCCAGGAATAGTAAGGCCTTAGTGTTTCCCAAGCAGGTTGCCAAATTATTAATAAATGCACTCCCTTATACCCTGAAGCAAACAGTACAGTCTCTGACATAAAGTAAGCATATTTCAGGTCCTTGTAATGTTCTGGGTTAGTAGCTCTTGCTTGCAAAAGGTGGGAACCTTAGCTTTCCAGTAGTGACATGGCTAAGAGCAGTAAACCGTTTTTGTTTTATACTCACATGCACACAGCTTTGGAAGAGAGCTTGTAATTAAAAGCTGTGCAGCTGAAACGGTAACTTGACAAGGCACTGAAGTTGGGCATGCAAAGGAGTGCCTGTTGTAAAAATGGAAGATAAAAAATACTTTAAGGTAGCGCACTGAGAAAAAACTAGTAAGACAACGCTGAGATGATTGCCCTAATGTGGGAAGACAGATAGAAAGTGCAGTATAGGACTGAAAGCAGCCACAATGTTGGTTTTGAAGAGGAAGGGAGCTGTATAGCTGCTACATTGCCTCATGTACAACACCAGGCCGAGCGAATCAAGTAGAAAGGGCTGATACCTTTTCAGCCTCCGCAGTTCCCCGTTTCAATTCTCCCATACTGTGAAATCCACCCTTAAAAGCCTGAAATTATTCTCTTACAGGCTTTTGGAAGAAAGCTATGTCATGAAAGATCCTTTCACCCCCGACAAGGACAAATTCCTCATCCTTGGGTCCCACTGCAGTTTGTGTAGCAGATCAGTGTGCGTTGGTACCGTAAGTAACAAGCAAAACAAGCTTCTTAAATAATTTATTTTTGTTCCAGTCCTGGTGACCTGTTAGAGAAAGACCAAACAGCAAAAACCCAAACAGCCTATAGTTAAGGCAAGCTGATTGTATGTTCTTGTTGATTCCCCCAGATAAAGCTCTATGTATTAAATGAAAATGATCAGCAACTTTAAGTGTTCTATTTACAGATGAGCACAGTCCAGCCTCACAAACACAATAAATGCTCTTTTCCACTTTCTCAGCACAAGAAAATGCAAAGGAGAATCACTTGAAGACTTTAAGGCTCACTAGATCGTACTATACCAACAGTAGGGGTTCCCCCCCCCCGTAAAGGGAATATAAACATCCATGGATTGTTAGGTTTGCATCCACAGCACACAGCTGCCAGCCTATTTGTAAAAGCTAATGTAGAAAGTGAGCGGGGAGGGGAGTTGTGCAATTCTGTGATAGCTCTCTGAAGAAGAATAAATTTGAATAGCAGCTGGTAGGCAACCTTAAAGCTATGAAATCTGAGTGCGGTCCAGAAAGGTGGTGTAAAATTACAGTTGTCTTAATTCCTTCTCCTCAGTGCAGAACTAGTCCCTTTGTTTGCTGTGAGTTCAAAGCAAAAATGAAGACAAGTTATTGCACAATTATCAGTGTCTGGAGGCTGTACTGTGCTTCTTTGAGAAAAGTTAGGTTCCACTTCTTTCCCTCAGCAAGCCAGTTCTGTGGTTGAAAGAGACTTGGGACTCATGCAGTAGTCAGGACTCATGCATGATTCAACCCAGGCGTAGACATCACCTGCTTGTTCACACAGACAACAGCATGTCTTTGTTATACCAGACACCATTGCCCTAGTAGCAGCCAGATCCCAGCCTTCTCTTTCAAAGCAGTCTTTTGCTATCCTAACGTAACGTGCTTAACTCTAGAGTGCAGCTAACAGCATGTGTGAGAGCACACCTTGCTCTTAAGTGTCGTCTTTAGCAGTTTTCAAATTCAACCTTTTCAGCCCATTCTCTAATTGCAGTGGTTTGGTTAGGGGCCAGCTCCAGTGACATCATCCTTACTGAGAGTAGCTAGTAGCAGGAGTTTTAAACTAACTAACCTGTTAAAGATGTTGTGAAGATGTAGAAGTTTTTTTTGTCATGATGTTTGGTGGCCAGTTACAGTTCTGGTGGGTCACACCTCTGGCCTCCTTAGAGCATGAGATGAGATAATCTGGGCAACTGAGACAGCTCATATGGCAATGCCAGACAGTTTCTGTGTGGAGGCTTGAGGAAATTCTCTTGAGCAAAACAAAGGGTCAAATTACACTGACAAAATTTAGAGGGTTGGACAGACACGGCCAAAAGGAAATTGGCACACTTGGACAAGTTTAGTTTGACTTGCAGGGACTTAGCACCAAGGATGGATTTGGTCCACTGTCCTAAGAGGAGTGTGCATCAACACCTTTCTCCTGATTAGGTTTGTTTCCTATTTCTGAAGTCTCTTCTGTCATTTAAATGAATGAAAAATCACCAAAAGGTCAGACTAGAGATTGCAACACACACACACACACACACACACACACACCCTTTCTGGAGCTACCCGAGGCCTACATGGGAGTCAGATGAAATGCCAGTGCTCTCTGGTTATGTCTTTGATAGCTGGGCTCAAGTTTCCAGAGCCGAGTAGCTCAAGGCAGTTGTGTGGAGGCAAAGCTCACATGTGAGCCAGATCTTCCTAGTGACAAGGTCCCTGTCTTGGCTGGTAGTTGACACAATCCCACGCACAGCCAGAGGAAGAGGGAAGTGCAGCTAGTCAGATAGTTTGGGCTTACGAGCTTGATTCCTGCCCTGACATGTCAGGTTTATTTCTCCTTTTTAACAGCAGAGGATTAGCAACTCAGGCACATTTTGGGCAAACTTGAGCACATTTAGCTATTTTCATTCCCAGGTGAAATGTCTTGAATTTATGAAGGAGTCAACGGGCATTTCCAAGTCTGGCAGTTAAATCTGGCAGAAATACAGAGTTTCAGCCTCAGTATCTTTCACAGTGTGTGTTTCTGAATGATGGTGGGCCTTTTCCTTTTAAAAGATTTAATAATTGTTTCAGTTAATCTAGGGCATAACAATATCACAGGATATTAGCAGTAAGCTAATAGAAGCCTTTTCTAATCTTTTTTGACATTTCTGCCTTTTTCAGCTATTGTGGAAATATGTCAATCATTTACTTGTTGTTATCTGAGTCTTCAAGATTCCCCTGATGGTATCACTCAAAGCAAAACCTTGATTGTAAATAATGGAGAATAAATTTCTTACCAAACTGGCCAGGCCAGATAGTGAATCACATGTATGACTATGGTTTCAAAATGTATTTAGCAATACTGCTAAGGTAACATTGAAAGAGATGATAATTAGTGCTTTAAACACCCACACTACAAAGTAGGTAAACACATACTATTCCTCTTTCATGTAGGGAAAAAACAGAGAAGTAAAAACTTATCCAAGGCAGCAGAGAGAGCCAAAGTTAAGATAACATCTCTGTGGATTGATTTAGGTTCCTGCTTGTGCTTGACCCAAGTAGATAACTCAGCCCTACACCGAGTGTTTCCATAATATTATAACATAAGAATAGAAGCTGAAGAAAATCATGCTTTCTTGGGTCTCTTTGGCAAAGGACCTGGACCAATTTGATGGAAAGTTTTCAGCAACAGGTTGCTTTCATTCTTCTGTTAATTCAAAATAGTGCTATAACTAACCTGTGGCAAAATTAAGACTTCTGATCTTAGATTTTGCAAAGGGATTGGATTTAATTTGCTGGCTTTTGTATCTAAGGAGGCTTAGACACAGATCAGATTTTAGGCTTTTCATAAGACAGTCCGTACTAGCTGAAGTGTATTTCCTTATAGTGGCTATGCCAAGGAAAGTCAAGACTTAGCAACTGTGCTGTATAATGCTTATAAACTCACTTCTTCAAGTATTCTCTTAAGTCTCACTCAGTTAATTTACTCCAGTCAGCTTGCAGCGTGCATCACCCTACCAAACCAATTTTTAGCACACTATATTTGTGGTCCAACCAAAAATAATTCCAATGATTTTCCGTAACATCTTAAAACATACAAAACGCCACAAAAAGGAAGATAATAAAAACGCTTTTAAAAGTCCTTGGAAAGGTTGAGTGCCCTGCTCCCTGTTTTCCTTTCAGGAGAGGGGAGAGGAAATTACATAATCTGACCATATTAGTAATTTAAAACAGTTATTTCTTTTTTTATTGCAACACTTACTAAACATAGGAGAAGAAAAGAGGTGGCTTTTGGAGAAGAAAGGAAGAAAAGGTACAAGTTTCATCCCTTACTGCTCACCACAGCAGAAGCTGACTAAACACTGACCTTGGACATGGTCGTAAGCATTAAGTGATAAATGTAATACTACAGCTACTTTCCACTCAGCTTCCAGTCACGCGAGGTCAATCCTGGACATTGTTAGGCAGAACCTTTCCTTTACATAGAGTTTCCTTTACAAGTGTGGTAAAGATAATATCCCTGTATGTATTACTTTCAGACACGATCCGTGTGAAAACAGAAATAAACTCTGGCAGTATGCTTTGGCAGCTCTGTTTTGCCTGAATTTGACTATTAAGTTTGAAATTGAAATTGGCCTCTCCTGCCTTGGCCATTGAAGAGATAAAACATATTAAGGAATTTTCTGATTAAACCCAGAACCCTGTCGGGATAATGGTCAAAGAAGGGCTTGACTAAACATAAGAAGTGTAACTTGTAGGGCTTTAAAACAAGAGCTAGGCTGAATAATCCCACAACAGAGAGGAGGACTAAGGGTATGTGGACCCAGCGCTCAGATGTGCAGTTGTTCGTAATTGGTGTAAGTCCCATTGACCAAAATCACCAAAAGTTGTCAACTCATTTCAGCTAAAAGAATGCAAGTTGAGCACCTGTGTATCTGTGAGGAGCTATGTCTTAACATTGGAGTTCCCCATCTGCAGAACGGGGGAAAAGCCTCTGCCCTCCTCTGCCTTTGTCCAGCAGCAGCCTGTGGTGCAATGTCCGTCACTGTGGAGCCATGAACTTAACCTGGAGGCGTGGGGGAGCTGCAGTGGGGGGGAAGAGCTCTGTGCCATTTTGCAATACAAACGAGAATAGCAGGGCAAACTTAAACTCTAATCTTCCATTTTTAATTGGCAGCTTAAAGTATTAAGGATACCAAGAGACAAAAAACAATAGGCTCTGGGGGTTGTGCAACTGAAATCCAGTTTCAGGGCCTTGCAGAGACCGAGGCCTCACACTAGCTCCAAATATGGAGGAGCCTGGCAGGCAGCGCAGGAAAGGACAATAGATGAAGAGAAGTTGTTCCTTGGGCTTGAAAGTCACGCAGAGGCAGGCCAATTGTGATTCTGATATAATAGTCTGCTGAATCTGCCGCTGAAGTCCAGATAGTGACATGGGAAACAAAAGCGAGAACAGGAACACAGAAATATCCAAGCCCCCAGAGAAAGGCCAGTCACAAATGACCACGGCAAGAGGAAAATTTTGCTATTTAGGTAAAATGAATCGAATCCATTACTCCCAAAAAGAAGTCCTGATCCATCTGAACTGATGTCTTTATTCATGCTTAAATCCCCAAGAATAATCCATCAGCAACACCAGCTCCAGCTTACCCATTAAATCCTATTTGGAATTTAGTGATCAGCATGCCAGGAGAACCATGGGCTTCAGTCTCGCTGCAGGGCAAAGGAATAATACATTAATAAGCTTCTCTTCCAGTTGTCCAAACTCTGTACTGCAAATAGATTGAAATACTCCATCAGTTTTACTTCTTCATAGTCAATAACTAACATCTGGTTAGAGCTAACTGAGTGAAAAATAAATACTGGGTCTGTAACACTTATTAACTGAATCAACTGTGAACAAAATGTCAGATCATAGTGTCATTCCATTTCAGGAGCAAGGGAAGTACCTTCTTTGCGCACAACAGCTTTTATACTTTGCCATCAAGAATTCAGAGAAGAGACATCAGTTCAACCTTTAGTACCGTGTGTGGTTTTAGTTTTTAATCAGCAAGTAAATTTATTCAAGGTAAAGGTGGTTAAATGGATGAAATCTCAGTTGAATTGTCGCAGCTGAATTCAATTCTTTTAGCTATTCTGGTTATTGGACAGGTCTGATATTTATATAATATTTATACTTTTTAGTATTGTCTTAGGACAATACAAACATACAGATTAATAGAAAGAAGAGTAGTTTTTTCGGGGAGTTAGTTATGGAAGAAGATGCAGCTAAAGTCTGTGAAGGCCCTACAGCCCCTGGCCAACATTCTTTGTGCTTGTGTTGGCCTTTAGGCTGTTTTTGTGGAGATTCGTGAGGAAGAGCATTCTGAGACTTCAAGTCTTACATGCCAGTGCAGGAACTTGCAAGATCCTCCCAGGAGGGAGAAATCTTCATGAGCTAAATGAAGATTTAGCTTTAAAGAAAACTTTGCTATTTAGGTAAAACCCATGGAATCCATTACACCCAGGAAGATGTCTTGATCCATCCATGCTCATGCCCTTATTCATGTTTAACTCTGCAAGAACAATCCATCAGCAACGCCAGCTCCAGCTTACCCATTAAATCCTGTTTGGAATTTAGCGATCACACCAGGAGAACCATGAATAATGCTTGAAGGACCAGCCAATTGTAAGGAAATGTGTTACTGTTCTGTGTAGCAGGGAGCTGATGAAGGTCACTTCTTTAAAAGGAGCAACATGGTAGTTGATTTGGTTAGTGATTGTTACAGACCCGGTTTTTATTTTTCATCCAGTTAGCTCTAACCAGATGTTAGAATTATTGAACGGGAAGAAGCAAAATTGCTGGAATATTTTAATAATTTAATTTAGAAGAATTCTAAATATAAATGTGGTTTAATGAGACGGGAATTTAAGCAGTTCCATTTTGTGTGTCCTGCTAATAATGTTATTTTCTTCACAGGACTGTAGCCTGTTCTACTCCAAAAGGTTCTGCCTTCCCTGTGTGAATGAAAACCTAGCGGCCTTTCCTTTGGAAATACAAGAAGATATGGATAAAAGGAAGCCCCAACAAAAATCCTTCCCCTGTAAAAAAAGGAATACAAGAACATAAATACTGAAGGACCAAGAGAGACAGTTCTTTGGCTGGGGTTTCTCGTCTCTCCTTTTGGAGACCATCAGGTTGCTCCTTTTAAAGAGGTGACCTTCCTCAGTTCACTACTACAGAACACAGTAACACATTTCCTTATTACTGGCTTGGCTTCAAACATCATCATGCAACGACTGCAGTGCCAGCAGTATGGCCTTAAGGTGTCGAAGAGCCAGAAAGAAAGGCAGATAAGCCTGCTGTCACCACATAAAAACCACATAGTAAAAAAACCTAAACAGTGTATAGAATAGGAACCACGTCCAAATTTTCACATTTGTAATTTTCATGTTTTGTGTTGTTATTTGACACTCCTACAGTGTTGTGAAAATCCGAGACAGATTTATCCAGCTTAATTCAGTATACATCCAAGAAAGTCAGTATACACCAATTGTTAACCTGGCAGTGCTGCCCTGATAAGGCTACAGTACGCAGGGAATTTGAAGCTTTATTTTAAAGTCTAAAATAAAACTATTATGAGAAAATG